ACTGCGGTTGGGTATAGTCTCCGATTATGCACCTTTTTAAATTTTCTGTTCTGGAGCAATATTATGTAGTGGGATTTCGTTGTTCCTATATAGATGGCGTATGTATACACAGCCGAAGCGCTCACTAGTTCTGAATGTGTTGGCCCGCTTTATTTAAATTGAGCTTGTTATGGTGGCCCCAAAGTCAATAAAATGCTACAGCATGTGTTCAGAACACTTGGCGACTTGATCACATGCATACGCGACAAACTTTTGAGGGAGTCGCCGAGAATAACTTATCGAAATCGGTTGAAAATGTAGGTATTGCTACATTCTGTTTGCTAAGCAAAACTGAGAGAGTTGATAAAAAATGGGCTGAATTGCTTCGGTGATGAGCTGTTAGGATGCCGGTGATCGCAAGCATGTGCTCCAACATGCGGGTGCATGCGGGAAGAAGTGGTCGATGCTACGTGAGTTTTGTGCTCAAAACTAATTGCATGCCCGCGTCAGCTCAAGCCCACTTTTCTCGTTCCCTCCTGTTTCCTTTCCTATCCTGCTGAGCTCACCTGTCTTGCCTGCTTGACAGGAGAGCGAACTCTTTTTGTAAGTAAAATTCATGAAGAGCAAACACGAAACGCATTTGCGGTGTGGTTCCTCACGCAGTATTTTTCAGGTCGCAAGTGCGCAGACCAATTGAATCGGCAGCCTTTAGTCACAACGTGACACTTTTTCTCCCGGGTGTGGCATTGGCTGTTGCTAGAAATGAACTCCTCCTTGAAGAAAGCGCCTGGAAAATCGGACACAAGACGTGTCAGGTTCGTGTCCGCCGACAGGAATTAGTACTAAACTTAGATGGCCCGGAATTCCAGCAAACCGAAAGAAAAGCTTGTTCAGATAGCGCTTTTGTCGCTGCAACTGGGGTCGTTTCAAACCCGCCAATTTTTTTTAAAACTTGCGTGTTTGCACATATACACGCACATATATACCCTCCGCCTTTCTGAAAAAAAAAAAAAAAAACTTCCGGCTACGCCACTGGCCGCTGAAATACTTCCTAACAAAATCGCGCATTCCCTCACTAAAGTGGTTATATTCGCACGGGCCTCGTGTCTTCAACTATGCATGTAAGAGGCGTTGAAATATTGCCCGTCGCAAGTCACGGAACATTTCCAGCACTAATATTATGCACCACTACTCTTGTTCAATGGCACCGAACTCGTTGGCGTGACGGAACATTCCACATCCTCGTGTATTTTCACATTACAAATGGAAGCGTCCAATTCAGCTATGGTGAAGATACTCTGTGCCATTTGAATATGCTTGCATACGCCCGAGATATACACGAACATTGGCTCGTTACATTCGTGTTTCACAAAACATGGAGCTTCCGTGTGGAATCATCCTTCCATAGAAAAAGCAAGATGATAGTAGCGCTCTGGTGTTTAGTTGCGTACTGTATTTCACTTTTGTAGCTTATGTCTGTCTAGCCCAGACAGTGGTTTATTATAACAAGCGGTAGTGGTGGGGGTGGGGATTGAGTAAGGCAGGGCGGCCATCTGAATCGTAGAGCTTTACTTAATTATTATTATTATTATTATTATTATTATTATTATTATATTATTTATTTATTTATTTATTTATTTATTTATTTATTTATTTATTTATTTATTACCCACAGCGCCCACATACAGGCAAACAGGCAAAAAAGCGGGGGTGGGGGTACAGGAAGGGAACATGAAAATTCGCCATATATATTCAGGATGTCTACGTGCTCACATGACTTACCCGTTTATCGAACACTACGACTGCATTCTCGACATTTAAAAATGCCTAGTTTAACAAAATGTTCAAGTAACGCCATGTTCTAATTAGCACTCACCCATTGCATTATACAGCTTGCAAAAAGAACCTCCTTTGTTACTTGCGAAGGTGCACGATTGCATGAAACTGGGGAAAGATTCGAGTTAGTTATCTCACAAACTATACCGCTGATTTGTGTTAAAAAAAACGAAGTTGCCGTATGAATTCTTTAAACGTGTTGCGATGGATGTGCACATTATTGTGTGCCAATAAGTGCAGAAATAACTGTTTACCTTCCGTAAGTATAGCCTGGAGGACTTTCAGCCGCCACAAGCAAGCGCGTGTTTCTAGCCTGTGCGCAGTGATAGCCGCTGTGTTACAACCGACGGGACGCGTCACTAAGAAATTCCTGTTGCAGTCGCTTCGCTTTAGCTTGTTATCTGGCCTTGTGTGAGGAAACACCCGTATCGAAAGGCCTGAAGACCGCAAGCATACTTTTCTGTACAGAAGCCCTGCATAGAGGAAAAGATGGCACCTTGCCGTCTTCTCTGTGGTGGTGTCTTCAAGGAGTGAGACATCCACTCGTTCAAAAGGCAATGTTGTCTTGCTGCGGAAACTAAAGCTCTCGGTACTTTAAATACGCTCATCTGAAGTTGGTTCTCTTTCATTTCAGGTGCCTACAACATTGGTCTTATATAATCCTTGAAATCCATTGTAGTGCAACGAATGCATTATAACATTCGCTACAGTTCAAACAAAAGTTGATGTCGAGAAGCAATAGCGAAACTATTTCAGCGAAGCCTCATAGTGGGGGTATAGTGAGGTTATTGAATGACACGGAGTGATATGCCATGCCAAAGTGGGCCTGCTTGGGCAGCAAACGCCATGGCATACATTAAAACGTTGAGACACGCTGTAGCAAGTGTTTTACCTTATCATGGTATTCGTATCAGCGAAAATAGGCTCAGCTGCTGCTTCGTCTGGTTGGCATCTGTAAGTGAAGGAGTAAGACAAGCGCAACGCAGACACCTTATTCACATATATGAAATGGTGCAGCTCTATAATCAAGCCACGGTGAAATAAGTATGAATGTAATGAGATTTGCTTAAAGGGTCCCTGAAAAACTTTTTTGAGTAACCATGGAATTATTTCACTGGAAAAGCGTACTACCTCGAAAATTGAACACCGCAAAAGTTTTAAGAGCCCGCCCAGTACGAGCGCAGTTACAAAGATTTGTCACACGCTGCAATCACATTCTCTCTTCTCTTGTCCCGACCAAAGTGCTGGAAGCTGAGCAGGGAGGGATGGGAGGGGCAAACAAAAAACGTCACTCGCACTTCGTGACCTTGAGCATTTTTTTCTTTTTTTTTCTTCGAATACGCCGCTTTTCAGTGCGATCGCACGCCCACGGGTGGACTAGCGACGGCCTCTCGCGGCGACCTCTGTAACAACCAAGCGCGCTATGTTCAAATCAGCCAATGGCTGATAGATGGGCTTACTGGGCTTATTTTCCGTGATTTGTCGAGAGAAGAGAAAGCTACCTTTAGCTGACTTTGATAATTTATTGTGAATTCCACACAGCGTGCTGTGCTACAATATTTGGCTCGCGTGTTGTCGGGAGCCTCTGCGACCAATTGGCAGCGCTTTCGGACCATGCTCAAAAGTGTTGCAGGGCCCCTTAAATGGGCTTGTAGAAAACTATAGCTATACAGCAGAACGTGACAAAGCGTTATAATTACCCTGCGAACAGCCGGACAGCTTAGTAACGTGTAGTTTCGAGCAACGATCAAGAGTAAGCATTCCGCCTCATTCTCCTGGCACAAGCTTCCTGTTTTAACTTGCCCGAGCACACTCTTCATACCATCATCCCTTCTCTTGACTTGTCACAGACCATACTTTGCCACGAAAACGCAATAAACGATGCCGATTGTATGACGCGCGCCTCATATTCACAAACCAGGTGACGACACGATAACAGGCGGCCTCGCTGTTTCTCAATGCCGCTGCAACGAATAATTCCACTCGTACTTCATTACACTTCCACCGTATGAAACACATGTCTGGCAATGCAAAGAAATCGGATTCTACTGTATACCCTGTTGCGAAACTCTGCCAAACTGGCTGAAAGTGACTCGCTTATGGTGAGTATTAACTTGGCTATGAAATTCGTGCGTTTTAAGAGGTCTAGCTGACAGAAGGGGTGATCTGATCTTTCGTGGAGATGCAAACCTTTCACGAAAACTTGAAAATATATTCAATGTTTAACAAAAAACTGCTTCATTTTGTGTCCACACATTTCGTCATTCGTCAAAAGTGATTAACGAGGTATACTGACGTAGAAGCGCCTTTAAGCCCGTTTATCAAAATAGGTCAGCAACCGCAAGACGTTTGTTCTCTTCTGGGGCGGAATACACAAAACTCTGTCGCTGACTCGCTGCCTTCGAGAGTTATGTTGTGTCCAGGCCGGAATCGGCTGGAATGCACGAGTCATTTTCACCGAACAAGTCATTACGGGGGCGCGATGACTGTCCGTACGCGTAACGGGTCCATAATCATCATCAACATCATCATCATCATCATAATCATCATCATCATCATGATCATCAGTCGGACTGCGCCCACTGCAGGACAAAGGCCTCTCCCATGTTCCGCCAGCGAATTCAGTCCTGTGCTTGATGATGCCACTTATACCCGCGACATACGTGATATCAATTGAGTCTCAATGTCTCTCAATCGCTATTGGGACATCTGACTCATTATGCAGCGCTGCGAAGCTTGTTAGCGAGTTTACCACAAAATGTAGGAGTGCGCTAGTGCTAACCGCAAGTTGCGAACGATGCTCGTAAAATGTAATTATAATCCGCCATGGGACGTAACGTTTAAGGGCTCAGTTCACGCAGCCTAATTTTTGTTCATAAGATGTTTACCGTCGGCCAGCTGCCTTCTCTAACGGTACGACAGTCCACTGGATCTACTCTTATGAACGGCAGAGAACTTGCGTCTGCAGGCCCTTTATGATCATCAATTCAAATTAATATTTTAGGTTGCTGATAGTATACTTGCGCAAAGCATGTTATCACATGCAGGCTCAACTCCAGTGAGCCTTTTTCATAAGAAGTCTTTTGTAGAAACTGATACATTTATTATGATAATTTGTGAACTAAGCTGAATTTGCAGAATGCAGGTCAGATTTGTGTTGGTTATTGTGGAATAATATCCTCATATCTCCTAATAAATATTTATCGCGAAAGAATGTAGGGACTGAGGAAACAAAAAAGAAGTAACTTCCTTAGGAAGTGTACTTGAGGTGTTCACCTATACGGTCACATGATTAATCTACTATAAGAAAGAATTTGTTGGCTAGTTTGTAGCGATTACTTTATTGGAGTCGCCAATCACTTAATAATTCTAGTATTAATGAAAGGGTTTAATGTCATTTACAACGCAGGCAGCTACACGTATGTCCACGTAACAATATGTAGGAGTTTCATCTCGCCAACGCAGTTTATGTAGAGCAATGGTGTTAAAAGTTGGGCTACTTGGTAAGGTAGTATATTTAGTGCAGCGCGAGAACGATGAAGATGGAGAAAAAAACGTGCCCCTTCTTTTCTTTCATTTCCCGTCTTCGTCGTTTTCTCGTGGCACTAAACATGCTATCTAGGGCCTTAGACGCTAATTGGCGTAGGGCAGCCGCGAATATGCGACGGAAGATGACGTTTTCCTTGGTTCATATCTTGAATAGAAGCGGCCAGCCATAGCGCCGTATATTTTGGGTGAAATACCTTACGGTTTGAACAGAGATAGTATAGTCACTGACCAATTCCGGAGAAGCGAGGAAAAAAATTGCTTTGCAGTGATATTCTCCGACTGGCTTCGTTTACAGGTCCATACTTGTTTCTGTTAGAACAATTGTTTCTCCACAGTCATTCAAACAGTAAAATATGTCCAGGAACAACAATGTCGCCCCCATGAACAAAAACAGCTAACAGCAATTAGATGTCAAAGTTAATTTGTATGACTAAAGCGGCTGTCCTGAGCCCGCGGGAATTGTCCGCACAGCTTCATACTTCAGTTCTCTTGGTACAACTGCTCTCTACAATGCCGTCTGAAATATATTGGGACGATGCCGTTACTAGGGGGTATTTGTACAGCGATGGTGCACAACTCAAACAAAGTTCGAGAACTGCGTGACAGTGTGACTTGAAGTTTAGTCTTCCTTCCTGCCTTCATGAACGCCTAAAGATGAACGGCTAATAACTCGCACTGCAACCGAGAGGAGACAAGTTTTCATTGCATGGTGGGAGCGGCACTTTGAAGTTTTTTCGCACGATTTTTAGTTTATTTTTAGTGCTTCCTACAGTATAACTTCTTTTATGTTCGCTGCATTTTACTTGGCCGAGTTTGCGTGGTCCTGTTCAATATAGGGCCTTTGTTACAGCTAGGCACCGCTTACATTTATAAACTAAATGTAAGCGCTCCCCTTGTGACAGGTCTGAAGTACGTTTCATGTCTATGCAAGTGCTTTGGAACGACGTCTTACGTCATATATGCAGACTGTACTCAACGGTGTGGCTAAAAACTATGAACCCTGCACCTTCATTCGCTTGGTGTAACATAACTCGTCCGCCGGATGTTCAGTTTTGCTATAACCTGAATTTTTTCGTTTTTATCTGTAAAGCAAATAAACTCGATACGGTAGTTGTGGCTCTTACAAAAGCTCACTGTTATGATAGGGTGTATTTCAGTGACTCCGATGTACAGCCGGCAAAATGTGGCAGTGTTTGACCCGCCACGCCTCACAGGCTCAGGATGTGGTACTGGCCTTAACGCAAGTTACAGGCTATTGAACGCGTAGCGTGGCAGCCACCCATGCAGAATACACTTCTGGCGTCTATAAAATGGCTAGCGAACCAAAAAATACCCAACTGATTGACCTCCCCGCCACGTTTCAGCTTCCTGGCAACGACAGAGGCGTCAGTACATGCGACTATTGCGTCAGTCGGAGGCTGAGACGTGTGTAACGGGAAAAACAAAAACAAGAACGTACACGCGTAAAGGCAAGCACCGACGGCACTGGAAAGCACACATTCTTGCAAGCACTTTATACGATTACAATGAGTATACCTGCAAAAACCGCTCGTTTTATGGCCCCCTTATTGTCGTACGGGAGCCCCCGCATGAAGCTGAATTATATATACAAACGCGCGCGCACACACACCAGTGGCCGACACGCGGTATGTGGTGGCATATGAACAACAACAGTCCTGGGTATGGCTTCAATCCGCGATCCGTCGCCGCCTATAAGCGCGCCAGCGCGATCCCGGCGACTGAGGCGAGGAAGAGCGCCGACATCAGGAGCAGCGGGCGTCTGCGTGGACCGCCACCGGCCGCGTTGCAAGCGTCCTCGAAGCAGCTCTGCAGGCAGCCCCGCACGTAGCGGTCCTCGAAGTAGAAGCCGCCGCAGTGGCTCATGCGAACGATCTCCGTGTCCACGGTCAGCGTCCCACTGTCGAGCGCGCAGCTGCGCACCACCATTGTTTGCCCAGTCTCCTCTGCGAGAATGAGAGGGAAAAATGGTAAGCGGGGAGTCACAGTTGGCGCCGGCTGCTCAGAGTCCCTCAAGTACCCCGTCTTCGTGGTTGGGTGTATGGAGAAGCAGACGTGTGCTTCGGAATTTTCATTATGTTCTCCCCACTTCGCTATTTTCTATTACCCGTATACGCTGAGCATGCTCCTTTATACATGGCTAAACCTTCACTCCATTTTCAGGCACTGCGCCGTGCTCCCGACCGGGCTGCACAAATTAGGTGCCTTTTTCCTCTTCTAACCACTACCACCACCACCGCCACTCCATTCTCCCCACTTTACTCTTTTTCTATTAGCCTTACGCTCAGCTGTACTCGTTCATAGAAGGCTGCGAAAAGAGCGTCTTTTCCTCACCGCTCCGAAGACCCGTCCCTCAACGCCCTACGCAGAATGACGCCTCCTCGCGTTTCATTGATTTGCGCACCTCTTACGATCCAACGATGACAAATGCAGCCTTAAATAACGAACGCTGCGTATGACGCCACTTGATGCCCTATAATCCAAACGAGAGGGCTCGTTGGGGCAGGCGAATAATCCCGTTAGTCTTGTTTTTTATGATCTCGCTGATCCACGCCATCCCGAGAATTCTCTTCGATGAATCGGGAATGCTTGAAGTGTTAGCGACGAAGCTGGAATGAGCTTGTGCTTCATATTACTTTTTTAAATGCCAGCTGCACATGGTTTTAAACTCAGCTTTATTCATATGTACAAGGACAGCTGTGAGTGAGTGAGTGACGAACTCTTCATTTGTTTTTCTTTAATTTTTCAATACTAACATCACCCGGTTTTTAGTGCAGCTTCATTCATAATACAAGGACAGGTGTGAGTTGATGTGGTGTGTGCACGTATATATATATATATATATATATATATATATATATATATATATATATATATATATATATATATATATATATATATATGTGTGTGTGTGTTGTGTGTGTGTGTGTGTGTGTGTGTGTGTGTGTGTGTGTGTGCGCTTAGATATATACTAACTGACCTAGTTACTGATTTCTCTCTCATTAAAGGCAAGTTGTTGTGATGGCTGGCTTGTTCATGCCTGCAACGAATAACAGGCAAAATTTTTTTTTGCCGGATTGCCACATCAGTGACGCCGTTGTATATGTAGGAATAAAAGTGAGCTGGCAATGCCGAACACTTCATATATAGGTCCATCTCCGTGGCGAGCTTAAAGAGAGAAAATAAAGAAACACGGCTGATTAGCTAACAGGTTCGCGGAATCGATTAGAAAACCTGCCACGGGGTCACGTCTTCGACAGCACTAATTAGGCCTGTTCATTTAAAGCACTGGCGACAGCTGTCTCGAAGCACACACTCATTACGGGAACTGTACGAGTGTAAGCTGTCGCGGTCTTTTTAAACTGACTGCCTGCAACTTTGCGACAATAGCCTGCCGTGATAGCCTGCAACTAAGAGAGTGATTAAATATGAATAACGTCTAATAATAATATTAAAATATTGTTTTCCATAGAGTAATGTAGTTGATTGATATGTGGGGTTTAACGTCCCAAAACCACCATATGATTATGAGAGACGCCGTAGTGGAGGGCTCCGGAAATTTAGACCACCTGGGGTTCTTTAACGTGCACCCAAATCTGAGCACACGGGCCTACAACATTTCCGCCTCCATCGGAAATGCAGCCGCCGCAGCCGGGATTCGAACCCGCGCCCTGCGGGTCAGCAGCCGAGTACCTTAGCCACTAGACCACCGCGGCGGGGCAGAGTAATGTAGTTGAATGAAAACAACCAAAGCAATGCAATTTGCAAAGCAGCTTATAATTTGCGCTTAGCACAGCCTTAAGAAAGGGTCGGCATGTACATGTAATATTCAGCAGACGCCCATAGTGCGCGGATCCGGGGCTTCGTGCATCTTCGGATGCCCTGCCCACTTTGAAGTTTGGGCTCGCAATGCCAGACAAGCGTGAAACCTCTCTTCTCTTACAGTGGAGCGAATAAATTTCTTAACATTACTATTATAGTTCCCTAACATTATCGCTTTAAGGATTGAAAACCTCCGTAAAACCACCACCACCACCACCACCACCACCACCACCACCACCACCACCACCACCACCACCACCACCACCACCATCATCATCATCATCATCATCTTCATCCATAACCACTCCAAAAAGATGATGCCCAACACACTTTCTGCCTTCCCTGACGGGCCACGTTTCTCTTGGTAATGCAGTGTTTACTATTGATATCTTGTTGTCTTTCTACACACCCTGCCCGTGTTCATTTTTTGTTGTTGTTGTTGTTCATTTCGACTAAGACGTCTTTAACACGAGAACGTTTCATGACCCACTCTTCTATTTTCTTGTCTGTTAACGTTACACCTATGATTTTTTCATTCCATCGTGTGCTGCATTGCCCACAAATTAAGTTGAACCATTTTCGCAAGCCCCCATGCAGGTTTCTGCCCATAGGTGAATGCCGGTAAGATGCAGCTGTTACATACTCTTTCCTTGAGAGATATTCGTAAACTGCCATAGTTTACCAGTAGTGAGTGAGACAGATATACGCACATGCGTACAAAGGACAGTGCGTCTGAAACCTAGTCGGCAGCGCGGCACACACTCACCGTAAACACCGTTTAGCTTGATGCAGGCGGTGGCCGGGAACAGCCCGTTGCGATTCTTTCGTGACGACATGCAGGGCGACACAAGCAGGTCGGCAGTGTAGTTGTTGTGAAAAGGGTCCTCGCAAGCTGGGTTTTCATGGTCGAGCGAGACGCACTTGAAACAGTCCAGACCGTGGGCCACCCCTGAGAGTGTTAAAAAAAAAAAACTTTAGGTAATCTGACAATTTTACAAAATTACGATATGATTATAGACTCTGAATTCCTTTCGAGGGTTTTTTTCAACTTGCACCTAAAGCCGACACGATTTCTGCATTTCGGCGTCGAACCCAGGCCACTGTTGCTGCATTTTCGGTGGAGACGAAAATTACATGCTGGAGGCCTGCGTACTTAGACTGAGCTGAAATAAATAAATAAATAAATAAATAAATAAAATAAATAAATAAATAAATAAAAATAAGAAATAAAGAGAGAGAGAGAACATGTTGTTTGAACATAGTATTACCACTGCTGTATAACACAAAGAAATTAGGTGCCTTCTTTCTCTTCTAACCACTACCACCACACAAAGTAAAACCCGGAGCGGTCGTTTTATATGTGTGTTGCGTCTCGTATTTCTCGGTGCATTTAGCGCTAAAACAAGTGTAGACCAACCTCAAATATGGTTAGCTGGCCTGTTTTTCTGTACATCTTCAATTTATCACACAGTGCCGGTCGCAAATTCACCGAGCATTCAGCATTGCTAACTCGGGTTCACATTAGACTCCTTAAAGGCATTCTTTCGTGGCCCGGCTCAGAAGGTTGAAGCTGATGTTATGCAGTCGCTCATGGTCACAAGCTTCGAGATAACGTGCGCACTTGCTCCGCTCTGCAGACAAGTTGTTATCACTTCCGAATTAGACCATCTAGCGCGAGGTCACCGCTAAATAGCACTCGCAATACAGGGCGCAAGGCACACTGTCTTTTTTTTTTACATTTCGTCCACTTCGAGGGTTCTGGACATTGAATGTGACCAGAAAGAAACTTTGTGTTGTTTATGATGCAGTGACTTTGATCCTGTCATTTGTTCTAATACTATTGCACGCTCTTGAATGAAAGCCGCCATATTGGGGTTTTAAGGTCTATTATTGTGATAGATATTGTGATAGTGATTATTGTGATAGATATTGTCTATTATTGTGATAGAAAAGCTAGAGAGTTAAACCGATCGCTGCTATCTCAACAAACAACTATATTTGAATCTCGGCCAAGAAGTACGTCATCTGTGCTGCATATTTCGAAAGTTCTGCAAGCGTCAGTTCCCAGCGCACCCCCGCAACGTACAGGTATGGTGCATCAACAATGCTGCAACCGATAGCCATTCAAACACGAATAGCTCCCCATAGCATCTGAGACTCCAGTAAAGAGCCACAGAAAGACAAAAATAAAGGTATGGCGTTCGTCATAACGTAGATGACAGAGCAGCGAGAGTTCTTTCAACATCAGGTCTTAAGTTAAATTTAGCCATTCCTATAAATACGGTGCGCCGCTAATCTTCGCGATCTATATAGCTGAAGCACCCCGATCGAACGTCCTTGCGTTTTCTGATTGCATACGGCGAAGAGAGAGTCCTATGGGTGTAGCATATCGCGTGTTCGCGAGTGAAATAAAAAAAAGGTATTTTTTTTTCGTTTTAAAAAGCAACTATTTTGTGCTAAGCAGCTATTTCTGGTTGGATAGAATTTCGGCCAGGAATAGTATTAGCAGTTGACTAAATTTTGAGCTTCCGAGTATTGAAATCCGCAGCAGCGTTTATCCATGGCGGCCGAAACTGGCACATACGTTCGACCTGAACACTTTTAAAACGCGCATATGAGAAATGATACACAGAAAATTACGTCGCCTCGAGGGTTGTCGCAAAACCCACAACACTTAGTGGATGTTATAAGTTGTATGCATACAAATCAATTTACCAATGTATATGGACAGAAAGCGTTCGTATTGACTTAAGCCGAGTAGTGAGCTGGCATTGAAACCATAGTATTCAGCAGTTATCTTATGTATTCTAGGGAACAACGTGAACAGCGGAAGGCTGAGTTCAGAGATTTTCGGTCGTAAGTGCCGTATGTCAGTGGCTTGTTGGCGTCACTAATTAATGTCAGACGTGGCGATTATTTATAACGAGACTTTTTCAAACAGCTCTAGCGTACTAACAGTTCCATGAATTTGGATGTTGTGAGAATCGTATCGGAGAAAAACGTGAGTTCATGGGAATATTTGTTTTTAAGTTTATGTTTTGTGTTGCTAAATGGCATAGCTCACAGGAGTGTCATGAATTTGAGTCACATGTGTACGAAAAGAAACGGGACAAAGACGCAGAAGATTAAGACTCTAGGTTATCACTCTTAGAAAAAAGGTGGTAGTACTTGCTAACTTTGGGGGAGTAATGGTTTGTCACATATGTTACAACCCTGGTAGTAAGCGCAGTTAGTAACGGCGAGAGTGGTAACAGTTACTACCTCTGCTGTAACTACCAGCAGTTAGTAACTGTTACTACCCTAGCCGTTACCACCCATGGGTAGTAACTTTTAGAGGCTTCAAAAAAAGTAGTAACCAATGCTACCTAGTTCATTACTTTGGACATATTTCTCCACTGATAATTGTAGCATATTTCTCCCCTGCTAATGTTGGCTAATGAATGCCTTATTACTAGACAAAGTCGGGTAAGAAGCGTGGTGTGCCATGAATATAGACCAAACAGGTTCACTATTTTTCACGTATACATGCAATAAGAAGTAAGCGTGGGGTATATATAGCCCCTACTTCGCAGGGGCATGTCTGGCACAGAGGAGCACTTGCATTTCAGGAGGAATTATAAGAAATATAAACCTATAGCACTATATTGTACTACTTGGTTACGTGAGTTTGGTGACGTAGCAGAAGACCTTTAATCAGCGTTACTTAAAAACATTATATGTTATATTTATCTATTATAAAATGGCCACAAAAAGGCATCATGAACAGTGGCCGGAACAAGGTACTGAACTCATTCTCAGTGCATTTGAATGCTTCACACGACTAATATATCAGCGTTTAAAAAGTAATAATCGTTTTGGGGGTTTGACGCCCCAAAGCAATGATGATATTTGGAGACACGCCGCAGTGGAATAACTGTGACTGTCCTCGAGGCTAATTGTGACCATCTGGTTATTTTGATTGGCCGGTCTTGTTAATGTTTGCTGTAATATACTAAGTTGTAATTGTCTATTACGGTGCAAGTAGCACATTATTATGGTTCGTTAACTAGTACTTCTCCGTTTAGGCAGTATCAAAATGAAGTTTACATATCTCGGTTGAGTAATTTAAAACGAAATGTATTTTCTTGATCCATGTACGCCTTCTGCGTCATTTTTCCGTTTAATAATAATACGTTGAGACGATTCCTCTCATAAATGATCAGAGTCGCATTCACACACTATTTTGCATTAGATAGTCAAAAGATGGGTAGCAAAGAGGTAGTAACGGGGCAAGAAAGGGAGTAACGGCTGCAGTTACTACCTCTTTCATTTCAGTTACTAACTGCTTACTAACGTAGGTAGTAAAGAGGTCGCAAAATGTTAGTAACGGTAGCAGCTAGTAACTGTTTACTAACGTAGGTTGTAAACAGATAGCAAAAGGGTAGTAAAGGTGAAAGAAAGGTAGTAACTGCTGCAGTTACTACCTATTCGCTTGCAGTTGCTACCTTTTCACTAACTTTTTTAAGAGTGTATGCTGCACTTATAGCTGTACATGTACACAACAAATGCTGCTTGCATATAACCTCCTCAGCGTCCCTCCTCTCTCCCTCGGCTTGGTCGAGTAGAGAAAAGAGGGGGGGGGAGCACGCACGCCTTTAAATAGCTGAATAAATCAATATCCAGAAGCACATGCGTCACTTACGACAGGGGGCAGTTGTCTCCGCCTCCCCACCCCCTCGCCCCTCTAGCTGATGTCTCTGCTTCTTGATATTGATTCATCTGTAGCTACTTCTGCTTTGCCCACGTGCAACAGGCCAGTTTTTGCAGTTAGCAGCCTTACTGGTAATTATAATTCCTCGGCTTCCACTGCGCTTCATATCTGTATGTATCGAAGGCCTGTCATTGCGCAAACTGCAGGCGGACGTTCGGCCTCTCCGTTTGCCTTTCGCGCCACTGCCTTTGAGGTGGGAGTTTGTCGGCCTGACAGGGTCCACGTGGATGAGACGCTCTATGCACGCCAAGCACGACGAAGGAAAACACGCCTGCCTGTTTGCCTCGGCAGAATGAGTGCCGTCCCAGTGCCAACTGTTTACCAACCCTCTCAAGCATGCATTGCCAGCGACAAACGTAGCGAACGGACCACTCGTTGCTGGGACGCAGCAGCACAGTGGAACAGCGCATGCCCATCGACCTGCATGGCTACGGTTCAAATCCAAACGACTCTTTAGTGTGCATTGCTTCTACATGCATGTCTTCAACTTTTTTTTTAAACGTCACTACTGAGCTCGTTTCGGTATAACTTAGCGCCATTCTTCGCTTCAATTTTCTCAAAACCACATCAAGGGTATCACAAAGGAGTTAGGTTTATATAGACGATTTTTATTATTTAGTGGTCACTTATATTTATTAAACAGTGTTAGTATTCTGATTTTTCAGCAACTGTTGGTGAACAGGCGATTTCAGAGGCGTGATGAGTAGGCCGTTTCAGGGAGCAGATGGTAGACAAAAAAAAACAACATAAAAACCGATGTAGCAAAGATGTTACTGCGGCTGCGTTACCTTCAAATGATGCCCTGTATACGAAAGGAAAGGCGTGGAGGTGCTTAATATGTACCGATGGACTAGTTGGCGAGCTATTGCTTTGATGAGGCAGCGCACAAACGGCCACAATCCCGCACACTTACAAACAGTGATCGTGTTATAGTCTATTTACGTGTGCGTGATTTTGTCTGTGCGCTGCCCCATCAAAAACACGAAGGGGAGCCTCCAAAGTGAATACGGTATCCGTTATAGATCACGTCCTTTGCTGTAGATGGGTCTATGTGGCATTAACAAACAACCAGTTGCGGAACAACCTTATAGTTGCACGAACGGTTTGGTAAAAAGTAGTGTACCTCCAGTCGTGCGAGCTTATTGTCTGTTGCAACTGATAAGTAAGTTGCCTTACATAATTTTGGCTTGTAAGCTAAT